CACCACATAAACATATAATTAATTCAATATTCAGTATTCTAGCATAAGGATCGAAAGATTTCTCATCATCCGTCCCATGACCAGGTGTAAGCGTAAGGTCTCAGCACAGCTGAATACCTAACCAGCACCGGCCTGATGTCTCAGTTGTGTGCCAATGTCTGAAATTCTATGAAAGATCTTCCAGTTCATTCAGTAATGTTGACAGCTCATTTTATTCTCTGTCTGTCTCTTTTTGTTTTACCTCAAGGGTGGTACCTTGTGGAATGGTAGAAGAATGATTTCTGGCACGAACACATCATAAAAAACAACCACCTTTCCACAGCCTAAAGATCAGTGAATACACAATGCTCTCTCAGATTTATTTTATAATTCATATTTTCCTTCTCCTATGTGTCATATTGCATCAGGATGTGGGCAGTCATGGCTCTCCACAGTTACCTGTCCTCTGTAGCTCTTCATAAATTTTGTCCTTTAGTTATATCTCTTGAACCCTGTTCTGCCATCCATTTACACAAGCACTCTAGGTAGCTTATGCATTGTTTTCTCTGTCCTTCCTGATTTCAATCTGTCCTGTGAGTATCACATTTTCCAAGCCCTCTTTCCTCATTATGTGCTCTGGAAATTTGAACTGTTTCTTTCTGGTGTTAAGTATAAGTTTCCTTTTTGTTTCCATTTTCTTTAAAACTTCACTCTTGCTCACATGTTCAGTTGATTGTATTCTCAGCATCCTTCTGTAGAGCCACATCTCTGTTGCTTCATATATCTTCTTCATCATGGAAGATATTGTCTGGCATTCATTGCCATACAGGAGGACTGATAGGATGTAGCAGTTCAGTAATCTTTTCTTTATTTCTAACAAAGTTTTCTTGTTTCTTAATACTTTGCTTAGCTTTTGGAAGACATCTATTGCTATCCTAATGCTCATTTGTATTTCAGTGTCACACTTTTACCTTCTGTTAAAACATTTCACAGATATTTAATTTTTTGTACTTGCTTGATTTTGGCATCACCAGTTTGTAATTTGCATGTTGGGCTGTCCCTTTTGCTAACAACCATGCATTCTCTCTTCTTGCAACTGATGTTAAGTACTTTTTTTCTCACCTTCTGTAGAAAGTCTTGTAGTAACCAACCAATATTGGTACATTGTTTAGGATACGTTTATATGAGCAATATATTGTATTTGTTTTAGTCTATAATATATATTTTGATTAGCAAACACAATATAAAAAATAGTTTAAATTGTACTTTTCCCGCAATATTTGTCTGCAGATTCTCATTCAATGGTAAAAAAAAAGAATTTGAACATCTGAGACCAAAATGTAAAGAAACTTGCTGAAAATTTCACTTTGGCATCAGGTTAAATCTCCAAGGGAATTAATGAAAGATGTACTTCCAGGAAGATGTGCATTAATCTTATTTCTATTGCTTCCAAGAGAATCTTAACCAGATTTGTTGTATTGGCAATCGTTATTATTCCTTGAATATTAATTTCTTGGACAAGCCAAAAATTTCAGTCATCTTCTAAAAAAAGAAAAAAAACATATTTTTGTCTATAAGAGAATATTATTTGTTTTTTATTTATTTATAAAGTGAGAAATAAAAAATATAACCACACATTTTTAAGTTACTAAAATTTTGGCTTATACAAGGCTTGAGAGTCAATCAATGTAGAGGTATTCAATCAACAAAATGGTAATGCTGAATGAGGTGTGTAATATGTATGGAAGAGAAGGTGGTAAGAAATGAAGATTATGAGGATAAGGAGGAAAGATGATGATTGATCACTGACATGAAGAAGTCAAGATTAAAGTGTCCAAGGAAGCAACCACGTGGGAGCCGTTTCTACAAAATGACAGTTCTTAGGAAAAAGATGAGTGGAACTTTCTTCTAATGTTTGGAACATAAGAGAAATGAGGATGATTCGACTATGTAGAATTGGCACACACGCGCACGTATATATATATATATATATATATATATATATATATATATATATATGGGTGTAACACCAAAATTGTCCACATCGTGTTACAGTATAATTGTTCATCCCACAAAATGTTTAATATCTAAAAAACACTAAACTAATTGAGTTTCTTTTTTCCAGGTTTTCAGATAAATCGTTTAGTCATCTTTACACCATTTGTCGTAAGAATCATTGAAAAACCCTTTGAGTTATTCAGCTAGAAAGAGAACAAGTTAGAATCGTTTTCTGTCACCCCAACTGTCTTCCTAACAGAGCAATGGCGAGAGGAAAAAGATCTTCCAGGCCTTCAGTAATGTTATCAACATTCATACTCTGGCTTCCATCTTCAAAGTCCATTCAAGAACCATCAAGAGAATGGGGAATAAGTTTAAAAAAACAGGGAAGCAGTAGAGAGGAAGACTGAGTCAGGAGGTCATAACAGGAAGAGGGATCATCATTTCAACTTAGAGCTAAAGAGATCAATTAGAAAAGATCCAACTCAATCCATAAGACGGTTCGCACGTGAGAGAGGAGTCTCAGCTATGACAGGCCAGAGAGCAGTGGAAAAGACTTAAAAATGGCATCATACGTGAAACGTGTGAAGCTCCTTGTTACTCCAGGACAGAAAGATAGAAGGTTAGAGAGAGCGAAGATCATCTTGAATAAGTTGGAAAATGATCCTTTAATAATATACATATATTTGAACTTTACTTCCATCCTTCATGAGCTTCCAATCATTAGCTATGATTAATTAATGATGAACATGTAATTTTCGTTTACGATCGATTTCATCACGGTTCTTATGTTAAGCCTGAAGAGCAATTATACATTCTTATTTCTCAAAGTAGAGTTCAATAGTGTTATAAAAACCTCGGAGAATTCCAGTAAGATATCTTTAATCATTTCTACGATACAACGGTTTAAATTTTAATCTAACAAATGGAGAATTTTGCTTTTACACGATTTGGGCAATTTTGCTGTTACACCGGTATATATGTGTGTGTGTGCATGTGTAAAGGGGTGCTGAAAACTTATCAGTCTGATTCACATCCCAAATCTTACTGACTGACCAAACAAGAATTTAACCGGGAATACATACAAGGGTCAGTCAAAAACAAATGCTTGTGTTACAGAATATGCAGGCTGGCCCACGTTGGCAGACGACAGGTCAGAGCGATGCTGACACGAATTGAGGAGAGATGGTTTGAACCCATTGGGTGTGGAATTCGGACAGTGATGGATTCCCTTTATTTAAGTTTTGATATAAAACCAGAAAATTGCGAAGACACGTAGATGACCTCAAGAATTACAAAGCCCAAGATGCCTTACTATTTACATTATTCGGACTATTCTCCTCATCTTTGTCGCCATATTTATTATTACAACGTTTCGGTCCTTGTACGCTCTAGCCTTCTTCAGGTGGTTGGAATATCGAACTGAACGCTTTATTTCGTTCACTGTTCTAGTTCCACGTGCCATATTTTTAATGGATGTCAGTTATCAGTTATCTCCTTTTAATCCCCCTTTCCAAGTTCTCCACTGCCTTAACCGGGTATTGAACTCACACTCTTTGGGTCCTGTCACTGGATCTAACTAATGCCTTTATCCACTGTCATGTGTCCTTGACAGATGTCAAGATGCCTTGCTGCACCCAGAATCCTTAATGGGTCAAGCCAGCCTGTGAAGATGAAATTCTAGCTAATATGTTGACATAAATTCTTCTGGCCCTCTCTCGCTAACTCTTAGAAACAATACTACAACTACTGTCACGAATATAATGAAGCAAGATAAAAATAAAAGAAAATTGTTCGTTGTTGATGCAGTCTATGATTGAGTGTTAAGGTTTGAAGAACGGAAGCCAGGGTCGGCATAAAACTTGACACCTGTTCTTTTCTTATTGCCACATATTTAATTATAAAAGCAACCAAAGCAAATATGATACTCCCAGGACAGATTGAAGGCAAGAGGGACAGAGGAAAACATTGCATAACGTTCTTAGCGAGCATGAGTAAATGGATGGTAGAACAAGGCTTAGGAGAGATAACAAAAAGACAAATTTTATTGAGCAACAAAGGACACGATAATTAAGAGAGATTAAGCCTAAAAGAGACTTGACTTGTATCGGTTTTCACTCTGGTCAGGTTGAACCGGCTTCCTCCCGAGCAAGTACAGCATCACGGACCATCGCTGCCCACGCTCGCCGATCCTGAGCCAGGTCACACGAAATGGCGAGCCAATCGCGATTCCATCGTCGAAGACCCACTACTTGTGGACCCGATAGTACTGCTAGGTCATCCTTGATTGTGCTAGCCCACGTCCTCAGTTGACCACCGACACGTTTTCGCCAGCCAGCAAGAGAAGAGGGAAAAGTACATCGCGGATGAGCTCTCCCTCCGGGCGTCGAGCTGCGTTCTCGAACTATCAGAGACGACGCTGGAGCAGGACGGGTGAAGGAGGACGGAGACTCAGGCGACGAGGTAGAGTGGTTGTGGGCACACGATCGATTCGGCGGCATCGTAGAATGCAGCGAAAGCAATCGTTGTCGAAACACTTCAAGCCTTCGTAGGTCAACCGCTCTAAGTGGCCACGTTTCGCAGCCATAGTCCTGATAGATGCGCCCCTTCGTATAGTGACCGCTTTGAGACGCCCGAATGCAGAACTTGAAGCTCCTATACGGCGTTCAACCTCAGCAGCAGCCTGCCCGGATGGCATAATGGTTGAACCGAGATAGACGAAAGACTGCACGTCCTCCAGATTGACCCCGTCCAGCGTCAGTGGCTACCAATTGACCGGATCAACCAGGGACGGCATAACTTTGGTCTTCGAGGCCACATCCCGTGCTGCAGCTTGCACACGATTGAGCGCAGCTTGCACATCGTCACAGTTCGATCCAACCAAGACAATGTCGTCCGCGTAGGCCAGATCAGACACCCTGATATTCCGACCAACCGCAACTCCAGCGGCTTGCCGAGGATGTAGTCAATTGTATCGTTGAATAGGATAGGGGATAGGGCACACCCTTGCCGCACACCAGTCTTCACCTCAAATGTCTCCGACTCCACACCATAAGCAAGAACACGGGCTCGGGTCGACCAGTAGTAGCCTTTGATGAGACGAAGGAGTTTAGCTGGCATGCCATCGGTTTCCATAATACGCCAGAGTGAGCCTCTATCAACGGAGTCAAAAGCAGCCACAAAGTCGACGAAGCAGAGAACTGTTGGTTGCTGGTATGCCCAGCGTTGCTCGAGGGTGCGCCGCAGGCTGAAGATCTGATCAACACAGCCCCTGCCTGGGCGGAAACCACCCTGAGACGGGCGAGTCCGCAGATCACGGATGCCTTGAAATCTTCGCAGGAGAAGCACTGCAAATACTTTGGCCACCACGTCGATGAGGCTGATTCCTCTGTAGTTCGAGCAGAGTCTCCTATCACCCTTTTTGAAAAAAGGCAGTAGGATGGCCTCGTTCCAATCGGCAGGGTAGGTCTCAGAGAGCCAGACCGCATTGAAGACACGATGCACTCACGAGGCGAATACGGCTTTATATACTTCTGCAGGTATACTATCCTCACCAGGATCCTTGTTGTTACACAGATGGCGCAGAATATCTCGCACTTCATCTATCGTTGGGGGTGCAGTGTTGCAGTCGTATTCATCGGTCGGTTCAACGGCCACTTCTATCGCCGGAGTCGGATGATTGAGTAGCTCGTTAAAATGCTCTTTCCACCGATTTAGCTGCTCGCCTAGACCTGCGATAATAGCACCATCACGGGAGCGAAGCGTCTCACTCACCACCGTAGTTCCGCGACTCGCCCGCCTCACCATCTGGTGGAGTTTACGAGAGTCGCCACAGGCCGCTGCACGCGCAGTCTCTTCGGCGAAGGCGCGCCAATGCGCATTTCGGTCAGCGCGGATGGAGTGAGTTTCGCGGCGCCGTAGATCGCGAAAGTTCGCAGCTCCTGTCAGTCGCGCTACCATCGCCTTCTCCGCCAGCCGAAGGCTCTCCCCGGTGATCCAGTCCCGATATCGGTGACGAGTGACACCAAGATGGGCGTGTGCCGCTTTGACGGTGGAAGATTTGAGAGCCTGTCATTCAATTTCTGGTTGAGGCTCTGAGCTTGGTTGGAGGAGAGGAGAGAGAACCGATTGCGAAGTTCCAACCCGCGCGCAGCTTCAGATTGGCGACGTTGATTCGCTTCAGGATCTTCGTGGATCTCCTTGCCCGCAGTCACATGCGCACTGCTCGTATCTGCACCCCGATAGGCTCGAGAGTCAAGTACAGAGCTTGCCCATCTCGCCCGTACCAGAATGTAGTCAATCTGGTTGGATGTACGGCCGTCATTGGAGCGCCAGGTGACGAGATGTCGTCGCGGGTGCTGGAAACGAGTCTTAGTCACCACAAGACGATTAGCGACTGCAAAGTTGACTAGGCGGTCGCCATTGTCACACCGTGTTCCGAGGGCGAATCGACTTAGAACATGTCTGTTGCTTTCATCCGCCGGTCCCGTACGAGCGTTCCAATCCCCTGCCACCACTAGAAGATCAATGGAAGGGGTACGATCTACAACTGCTTGTAGGTCGCGGTAGAAGATGTCCTTGTCCTCCTCCGCTGTATTCAGTGTCGGTGCGTAGACGGAGATGACGGTGATGTTTATAACAGCGCCTTTGAGACGGACCATGGCCAGCCTGTGGGAGACTGGTTCCCAAGCGAGCAGCGCTGCCCGCGCTACTGGGCCGAGAGCAATCGCCACTCCATACAGCCCGCTGTTGTCCTCCACTCCACTATGGTAAAGGTGGTAGACACAGTCAAGACTCTAGCACTTTGATTATTCTATGCCCGCTATCCGGGAGGCGGACCTCTGACAGACAGGCGACACAAACATCATACTTGTACAGAGTCCTGACGGTGAGAGACTGCGTTCCTTCGTCGCGAAGAGTGCGGACATTCCAACCAGCAATCTTCATCACATCTCTGTAAGGACTGTGGTGGCTTGCTGATTTCTCACCGGTCCCGCCGACCAGAAGACCGGCGCGTCGGATACACATGCAGCGGATGCCCAAGCATTATTCGTATTCTTGTTAGTTGCATCGCTCATAAAGGAAGATTCATTGAGATTTGATTAAGGGAAGGGTCCCAAGTCCTACCCTAGGGAAAGGAAAAAAACACCCTGTTTGTTGCAGATTTTCCACAGACGCATTGACAGAGCGACCCGAGGCCGCCGGTTGCCGGAGCAGACACTTTCTGGATTTTCATCAGAGCCCCTTTAGCCGGGTTGCGGCCCTAATACCGCTGGGTGCCAGATCAATTCGCCTAGGGAACCGAACTTCCCGACGACATAGCTCTGGCACTACCACGTTGCCACCGCCCTGCCACGTTGAGGAGGAGTTGGGCTTTTAGGGCGGCTAAAAGAGAGTACTGTTGTCATATTTGGGCGGGAACTGCCCAGTCCTCACTCTCCAGTCTCGATAGAATTCAAAAGCATATCCGAGTCCTTATGGGTGACAAATTATTTTCCAACCTCCAGTACGGTGGAGTAATGGATAGCGGCTCAGATTGCGGAATCCAGTCGAATCCATTACATTCATTTACGTGCTAATACCCTTGGGAAAGGTATGGATTATCTCCCCCCCCCCAGCTATAGATAAATAGCAGGACAGACCAGGTTCTATAGCCTTGTGTGGCAACTGGTCTACTGCAGGAAGAAATGGCAACCTACTGCGGGAAAAAAACTACCTCGTCAGTCATGTATAGAAAGATACATGATCGCCTAAGCATGTGTCGCGTATGGCACATAACTGACTGACTGAATCTCTCTCTCTCTCTCTCTCTCACTCACAGGCGGGATGTGACAAGCTAAAAGTCAAGTAATGTAGTTCGTCTGAGCACTTTCCATGAGAAAGTGCTCAGACGAACTACTTGGTTCCCAGTTTTATTTTCATAGCTAAGACATGCCATGCCACTTACATTGTAGTAAACCACCCACATTCCCTCTGTATTCCATCGGTGAGAAAAAAAATTCCACTCAAACAGCTTCTTCCTGTGAAACACAGCTGTGTGGAATCAACTCCCAAGAAGATGTTATCCTGATCATTACAATCTTAACCTGTTCAAGGCTAGGGTTAACCGTTATCTCTCCACTCTCTCTCCCTCTCCCTCCCTCTCTCTCTCCCTCTCCCCCCTCTCTCTCTCTCCTATCCACATAAACAGTCTTTTAATATAATCCTCTATCACAAGTGGCACCGGGCCTTGTACAGAGTGAACATTACTATTTAAAAAAAGAAAAAAAAGATTAGGAGAAATAACAAAAAAGAGCATTTATTGAAGAAGAAGAAGAAGAAGAAGAAGAAGAATTATTTCTTTTTTTCAATGTATCAAAATGTGAAAGACTAAAAAAGGAAAACTGAAGTGGATGATAAAATCTATTTATTTTTTATTTCACGTTATTTTATCCCTAGTATGTTCCGTTTGACTGAATATATATATATATATTCTGATTCAACGAACACATTTTATTGGGTATTTTATTTATTATCATTGATTAAACTGTATTTATTTGCCGCCTAAAGCGTTGATCTTGCTATCCAGGCTGATTAGGGAAACCTGTCAAAAATAACCATTTACCACTTTCTATTTAAAATAAATTGGAAAGTGAAGCAAGCAAGACTAAGAGGGTCGAGCCGTTCTTTTTCTGATAAGAGGAACAAGACCCGACACAAAGAGATAATTCCGGATCGCCATTGGAGATACAAATAAGACCTAACGAGTGTTGCGATGTTCATCTCTACTTTCAAGGATTTTTTTTTTTTCTGTTTTTCTTTCTTGGAGGTAAGTGCAAACTAAAAGAAGAAACAATGAATGTTATTACAGCACCCAGCTTGAAACACATAGCTGCGTCAGACCCAAAGACATCATAGATAATTTTCTTATCTATACAGCTCAAAATAAATTTACCTCGACACAAGAGCATCAAGAAGCAGAAAAATAGATAAAGCTAACTTGATTTTCGATTTTTTTTTTATTTTTCTATTATTGACAATCTTTTCTTGCTTCATTTTCATGTTTAATTGTCTGGTTTTATTTGACGACTTGTTTAGACATAAGTACTATCAGCATCAGTTTTTACTTATTGGTGGCTTATGGCTATACCGCATTAAACACTGGTACTCATACAACCACCAGAGTTAAGCAATAGCGGCTTGAATCAGTACTTACATGAGTGACTGCTTGGGAGGTGCTGTAGGCTTGGATGTGCCGATGATGTAATGAATAACAGTTCGGAATTGTAAATCATAAAGCCTAGTTCCAATTCCAGTCAGGCTTTTTTTTTATATCGTCTTATGCAAGAATAACATTGGTATCAGAATTTTAGCTATCTGAGCTACGTATTGGGAACGTCAGAATGAATCAGAATGTAGTCAGAATTATTGCAATTCACAAAAGAGACAACCCAAGATATGAGCTACGTATTGGGGACGTCAGAATGAATCAGATTTAGAAATTGAGTTATCTGGTTACTGGAGTCGAAAACAGAATCTATTATTGTCAGCAAAAGAGACAACCCAAGATATGAGCTACGTATTGGGGACGTCAGAATGAATCAGATTTAGAAATTGAGTTATCTGGTTACTGGAGTCGAAAACAGAATCTATTATTGTCAGCAAAAAGAGACAACCAAAGATATTGTCAAAAAAGAGCAAGATACGTATTGGGGACGTCAGAATGAATCAGATTTAGAAATTGAGTTATCTGGTTACTTGAGTCCGAAAACAATCTATTAAGCAAAAGAGAGAGCTTTACGTATTGGGGACATCAGAATCAGATTTAGAAATTGAGTTATCTGGTTACTGGAGTCGAAAACAGAATCTATTATTGTCAGCAAAAGAGACAACCCAAGATATGAGCTACGTATTGGGGACGTCAGAATGAATCAGATTTAGAAATTGAGTTATCTGGTTACTGGAGTGAAAACAGAGTCGAAAACAGAATCTATTATTGTCAGAATCTATTATTGTCAAAAGAGACAACCCAAGATATGAGCTACGTATTGGGGACATCAGAATGAATCAGATTTAGAAATTGAGTTATCTGGTTACTGGAGTCGAAAACAGAATCTATTATTGTCAGCAAAAAGAGACAACCCAAGATATGAGCTACGTCAGAATATTGGGGACGTCAGAATGAATGGGGAGTCAGAATGAATCAGATTTAGAAATTGAGTTATCTGGTTACTGGAGTCGAAAACAGAATCTATTATTGTCAGCAGAAGAGACAACCCAAGATATGAACTACGTATTGGGGACGTCAGAATGATGCAGCTTCAGAAATTGAGTTCTCCGGTTAGTGTAGTCGAAAACAAAATGTATTGTTATTATTTATTGTATTTAAAATACAATTGCGGCACAATGCCAAAATGCGGGGGGTTTGAGGCTGGTCATCACTATCTTATACCTAGCTAATCTGATTCACGACCCATTCACATATTACAATTTCCACATTCACCATAAAAACTCGGCCGTCATCATTCATAATACCACATCCTCTCAACCGGGACCTACAAAACGCGCCACATGCCATCAAATGCTTATAAATTATATACTTAAAAATTTATGGATGAATAGAATGAGAGGGGAGGGAATGAACCCCAAAACAAACTAAATATAAACACAAAGTAAACTAAACATAAATGATGTTAGTAGGGCCCGCCCAACCCTAAAAAAAAGAGATGCCGCTGTATTCTGCCCCTTGGACAAAATCAAGAGGCTCTCTCGTTAAGGGAGTAGGAAAGAAGAAAAATATATGGTCATGGGAAATAAAAAGCTGACCCAGTCGAGATAAAAAGGAGCCGAAACAAACTGGGGAGGTTGGGAATCAACTTGGATCATAACCAAAGAAGCAGCCGGGAAAAGGCAAGGAACAATTACTCACATTAACTAGATACACAAAAGCTTGTCTCACCTAACCATGAGATGGCTCCACAGGAAACCACCCCGATGTGACGTAGGTTGACCTAGAAGAGAAAATCAAGGCTAGCCCCGTTCAAACGAACCAAGCTCGCCTCTTTCACCCACCTTTCGCTGAAGACTGTCGAATGCAAGCGTTTTCTATCAGTTCTAATCTTCATCTTGAGCTGATGCTCAAAGAATCGGATTATATCCTGATGAGAAAGACGGTTGCCTCGCAAGACTTCCTCCATTCGCGTCGTCCAAATCACCATTCGGGTCGTGGCCAGCAGCGTCAGAAACACCATTTGTTTCACCCCAGAATACGGGGGCAACACATAGTCACACGTGTATGCGCAATCAATGAGCACAAGTTTTTCCGGTAGCGAGACGAGCCGTCAACTCGCCGACATGGTCCCATAAGGGACGGACCCGGGGGCAATGGTAGAAGGCGTGCGAAGCCGTTTCCTCTAAACCAAGGCTACACCGTTCACAGTCTGGAAAATCCGCCAAGCAACATATGACGACCTTGTCATTGAGAGGCAGCCAATTTCGACGGTTTGCAATGTCAAAATATGTCTCTAGAAAATGATTAACATATGAAACTATGAATCTCAATCTCCATTTTTTTTCTGTTTTATAGCCAATACATGAAGTCTTTGATGTTGGATATTCTAAACAGCATCCATTTAACCAAAGAGAAGAAATCCCAAAGAAAATCCATTTAAAATGAAGCATTTCGAGACAAGCGACAAGCCAAACTGATAATTTTAGATTGCTGGTTGAGCTAACAGTCACAACTGGGATTACATTAACTAGATACACATAAGCTTGTCTAACCTAACCAAGGGGAGGGCTCCACAGGAAACCACCCAGATGTGACGTAGGTTGACCTAAAAGAGAAAATCAAGGCTAGCCCCGTTCAAACGAACCAAGCTCGCCTCTTTCACCCACCTTTCGCTGAAGACTGTCGAATGCAAGCGTTTTCTATCAGTTCTAATCTAATTTTAGATTGCTAGTTTGTGCCAATAGTCACAACTGGGATTGAGGAAGTTATTTCTGATTCTGGCTGGGAAGAGGACAGACTTTCCCTCGCTTACTTACGA